TTTTCTGTGGTGCCCCTCTCCCCTTTTTGTTGCTTGGGTTTCCCTGAAATGCGAGCCAAGAGATCCATATGGAACCGAACAACGCTGGCCGGCCAGGAAGCTTGGAAGACAAGCCCAGGCCTGGCAGTGGATGAATCGGATGGTATCAGGAACATGGGTTTGTGTCCTGAGGGCACTTTTGGGCGCTGACAACTCAGCCCTGCGTCAAGCCTGATATCAGCTGACTCCAAAACCTTGGTGGTGCTTGAAACCATGGCTTCAGCAAGCGGGTCTTGAAAGCATAGGCGTCCAAACATATGAGGGTGTTGGTCTCAAAACATGGGAAACCGCAACAATCGGGTGGTTGCTTCCTCTTGGGTTTCCCTTTAAACCACCTACCTGTCCGTTCTTCTCATTGCATCTGCATTTTTTGTAGCCGACTAGTGTTTGCTTGGATGTTAGGACTTTAACTTTTTGCCAACCAATGGGTTGTCCATTAAACCACTAAAAGTTAAACTTTTCAGCAGGGAAGCAGAAAGCAACCGACAAACCCTATGTTGGTTCAATCCTTCGCGGCCGCTCTGTGATTCTTCACCGTGCGTTGGTTTGGGTAGATCCCTATACTAACAGGTTTGAGTGTGACTCTGTCGTCCACTTTAAAAAGCTTGTTCTCAAGAGGCCACCCAATTTTCCGCAATTTGGGTGGTACCCCCGCCATCTAGAGAACAACCTTTTGCAGATTTGGCCTCACGTGCCAAGCTTTTTTCGTTCTCCAGTTCTCAACATCGCCAAGTGGTAGGCCGGAGGGAACTGATGAGCCAATGACCTTGACTTCCCGGTTTTGATTGCGGCTGAATTTGGAGCTGCCACTTCTTTTGGCAACACCCAGACCCGCGCACAGCCCCAGAGCCCTACTTCGGTACTGCTTTGGCCCGGCCAGACATTTGGCTTCACCGCTGCCCAGGGTTGATCACTCAGGGTTTATCCACTGTGATACTTTTGGGAATCCATAGCCTATGGGGGAAAATACTGGGAGGCAAGTGAAAGTTATATGTCATATCACAGGGTGGATTCCATTTCAACCACAGCCCTCTTAAGCCAGTGAAACTTATATGTCGTATCACAGGCCAGTGGACTCCATGTAAAACAAAAAAAACACCCTGGCAACTTTCCCAGGGAAGTCGATGTCAGGCGAGTCCTGCCCACCGCACCGAGTTTCGCCTTCTCCAGGCCAAAGAAGCCCGGCTTCAAGTCTCCCGGGCTGCGTGTAGGCGCGCGAATCAAAAGAAGTGCCGCGTGGTCCGCCGGACTCCTTGGGGTCGGGGCTGGCTGAGTTTGTGGGTTGGACGGATCATGAGGCTTTGAGTTGGTGTCCCTCTCTCCCACTTACATGGCACCTGCCAAACAAGTCCCAAGAGGAAACTCATCTTCCAGATGCCCTCCCACCGCGCGAGGCAGGGTATCTATTGTTTTTCAACACGACAAAGGATCGCAAAGGAACGAACGGGAGGTTCCATGAGTTCCATGCACCACACTTCGGGCTCATTGTTCTTGGCAGGCCAGCGGCGGGGCGTGATCTCTCGCAGCACGCAGCCCAGGTCGAGGTTGGCTCCCACTTTTGTATCAAGAAACATCTCCTCCATGTTTGTGTGTGTGTGTGTGTTTTGTTTTGTAAGGGAGACCAAAAGGAAAACCATAATGTTTCTTTTTGGGGGGGTCCCTAGAAGGACGCTCAAATTATAGAGATTTTGTCAGTACGGCATTTCAATAGAGGAATATCCTCCTGGGGGAGCCCCTTTGCATGTCAATCACATTGGAGGGTATAAGAAATGGTTCCAACTGGGGTAAGCGGGGTTATCCCCCGTATCAACATGGTTGTAGTTGATGTATAAACGGTTTGGATGCGCTTTTTGTGGATTTCACCTCTTTTAGTACTGTTTTAATATCTTACAGCCGGTGGTTCCACAAAAAGCCACATCCAAACTGTTTTCTAGAATTTTTCGTTAGGCATGAGTCTGCTCATTTGTTGACTCTAAGAAGGGAAGGGAACGGGTGGGGTGGGGGCTGACATTTTTTCTCTTGCAGCTACACCCCCGCCTTGCTGAGGCGAGAAACCCATTGCCCTGCCCACGCGTGGCAAAGTAGGGAAGGCCGGCGGGCTTCGCTCGACTCACGTCTCAATGTGTGTGTGTGTGTGGGTGGGTGTTGGTGTGGGTGGGTGTATGTGTTGGTGTGGGTGTGTTTGTTTTTGACCCCAAGTCGGTTGTTGTCTTGTGTATATTCTCTTAAGATACCATGCGGTAGAGCGGAACCAGCATAGGACTTCCCGCTGGAAACGTGGCCAGCCCATGGCCAGCTGCATTCGAATCCTAAGGGTGGCACACAGCGTTTCCAGATTGGCCGGTGTGGTGCCCTGTTTCATGTGGTAAGTTAGGTAGTCAGATGATTAGTTTTGATCCTGACTATAAATTTATTTTGTTGGGGGATCCGATGGATCCGTTGATTTGTCCCGACATGCGGCAGACACACCTGGTGGCATTGGTGATAGATATTGCGGAACATCAATGGCGGCTTTGTTTGAGGTTCGGCCAAAATAATCAGTAGCAACTCTCTAAATTTCCCACGAAACACCAAGAAACTCACTAGTTGACGTACTTATTTCATGTCCTCCTAGGGGAAGCACGTATTTCAACTATGGCTAACTCGTTTGCCTCATATATCACGGACTCCCCACCGACGGAGCCTCGCAAAGATCTGGAGGTGCCGAGCGCCTTCAGCGGTTGGCATCGGGGCAGGCGATCCATCGAGTGTTTGCATGCAACCGGTGGGGGGTTCTTCCTCGTGGTGGGGTGACTGGTGGTAACCCCTGAAACGACTCAACGACTCGCAAAGCGCCCCAGTGTCTTTTGTTTGGGGGTACCCCCCCCCAACAACAAACAGGTGGTTGTCCTGTTGGTGTCCCTTTACACCCAGCTGGAAAGAGTTCCCTCCAAAGACGCTCCCCCTGGGCCTTCAACATGTGCCCTGTTTGGAGGAAGATGCCCCAAGACCTAGGATCACGAAGTCAGATTGGAACTTTGGCTTGACGAAAAGTTTTGTTTGATCCTTTGCTTTGTCCAACAAAGCAACCGTTTGCTTGGGCAGGTTAAAAAAAAATCCACTCGAGCTTCTTGGTTACTGTGTTCCTAGGCCACTGGCTGGGCCATTTCGAAAGGCTCACCTGCCCAAAGCGGACCTCTGATCTCCAAGAGCCTTTTGGGACGCCACGTGAAGTTTGGGTTGGCTTGGGAAGTCGGCAAGGGATTCTACTTTGGCATCAGTTTTGGATTGTCAGCGTTTGGGTCCTGTGAAATGAGAGCTGGACATTGCCCAAAGCCGACCTTTGAACGTTTGTTCCCATCTTGCCATGCTGTATGTTTGGGGTGAGCGAGCTGCGGCTAAGGGCACTTCTTGAGATTTTTTTAAGTAGCTTCTGGTCAACCAGTTCAAGGATATTTGTGGAGTTAACCATGACCATTGCCAGAAGTTTTGACCACAGGAATCGTCTTCCAATGCGTTCACCACTGACTCTTGCGTTAGACCCCTTTCAAAAGGATACGAGGGCGCCAGGCACCAAAACCGAGACCATGTGTTTTTGAGTCAGGTGGCATCCAGTGGATCGAACAACCTTCACCAAAGGCCTCATGGTTTGTTTGACCACTCACCTTAGTCAAGGGTCAACATCTTTAACTAGGTCCCCCAGTAGTGCCCTTTTACCCCGTTTTTGGGGGAGGTCCTAAAATAGACTACAGAAAAAAGTTGGTACCCTTCGTCTAACCTCTGGAGGTAGTTCATCTTTGGCCCTAGAATGATGAGAGCCTTAAGATTTCAGTTTAATCCCTAGGCTGAGGAACTTGTAGTTCAGGTTGAACAGGATGCATACCTGACACGTGGTTGTTGCGCTCCTTGACGTCTTGAGGGTTGCACCATGAAGCCATAGCCGCCCCCCGTCCACGACCCGCCCCCCCCCCCCCACCCCCCCCCCGGCGCCCCAAGCCTCGAGAGCCTCGGCGCCAGGGCGGCGCCGGAAGCCAAGCACGGGCCGGTGGCTCGGAAGCTGCAGCAGGCGGAGTCCCGAGGGTTGCCCCTCGGTCCCAGTGACGGTCAGTCCCTCTGAAAATTTCTGGAGGGCCGGTGTATTTCAAAGTCTTTGCCATGTATTGAAGGCTGGTTTGTTTCAAACTCTTTACCATGTATAACCAGTTCAGGATGGGTTTTGAAGCCAGTGTCTTCTCTCGGTTGGGTGAGGCTTGAAGGGGACATATGCGGAATCGCGCTGAGAGGGATTTGTACCACCGGGGAGGGAACCCCAGCCTCCGTTTGGGGCGCGCCCCCCTCCCCCCCCAAAGAAAAAAGGACACTCCGCCAGCGGGGTCAACCTGGTGGGCTTTGCATTCACCCCATCAAGATGGACTTGTGTTTTGTTTAAACAGGGCGCTCCCAATTCCTAAGACGACATGTGTGTCTCAAAACAGGGTAGCCCCTGCAAGCGGCTCCGAAGGGCTGTTTTTAAAGTCACACCTCACAGGGAACACGCAGAAGAAGAAACATACTGTTTGGACCATCTTCCATTTGGTTAAGAATATCTTTTCATTTTCCCCTGTTGGTTTTAACGGGAATCTATCACTAATGGACACATTTTATATTGTCCCAGAGGACTTAAGCAAATGGAGGTCATGGCTGGCTGATCTTTGCCACATGGAGCAATTGGAGAAGAAGCCATGTGGACATCATGTTTATGTTACCCGGCTGGCTAAATGTTGTTTCTGGTGCATCCATAAGTGTCTGGGGCCGAAAGCGGCGTCCCGGTAAAAGATCAACAAGACTCAGTTGCCCAAAGCCGACCTTTTAACCTTTTGGTTTTCAATTTTTGTTCTATCTTTAGTAAAGGCCCCAAAAGGTTTAACCTTTTATTCCTGGGTCCTTTGGGCGACTGAGAAGAGGTTTCGGAGAGTTGTACGGTGCCAGATGAAGATTGTGTCAACAGTAAATGGTGAACCTAAGGGTCGATTTGATTTTCGACCGAACGGGTCAATGGCTGCAGCGGGCAAGTTAACACGGAACCCAACTGAACTGTCGTCTTTGGGGTTTGTTTTGCACAGATCTGTTGTTTTGGGTTCCATGTTGACGTGCAAGGCTTTGGAAGGCTTTTCTTTGATGATATTTTAGGCCCATGTTCCTTTTGGAAGCAAGTTGCTTTTCCAAACTAGACCTTGTGCTCAGGCAAAGGGCAACCAGTTGAGATACGCATTTTGACCCCCCCCCGCAGGCTTTGCAGCAGGCCTTGGATCCAGGCGCGCGAAGGGATGGGAGGAGAGCTTCTGCCACCGAAGTCTGCCCGCCAACTGCCCTCCAGAACAAACACACCCAGTATGGGTGTGGGTCAAAATTAAACCACTGGGCGACCGCAGGTGGCTCCATTTTGGGCACCTATTTTTGACCCACAGCCGTATCTTGTTTGCTTTGACCTTTAACAGGTATTGGGAAGAAAGAGTTTTCCCACTAATCAGCAGAAAGTGACGTTTTTTGCACATTCCCCCCCCCACCAACAAAACAAGCCCTGAGCCAACCCCTCCAAAAAAAGGCCGCACCCATTTTGTAGGGGCAGCTCAACATTATTTCCCTTGCTCATGATTTAGCTTAGGTTCATGATGCCCCAAAGCCCTTACATGCCTCCAAATCCTACACCCCAAGCCGCAAAGCCCAAGGCAACTGCTGTTTCTCGTGTCCAAACTCCCACATGCTGTTCGCGAGGTCAGCTGGAGGCGGCGCCGCTGCAACGGGCTCTGCAGAGCCTGGCTCGCACGGCGCAGCAGGAGCTGGCAGCTTCTTGGGATATGATGCAATCGCGGGGGCTCATCGGTCGGCTGTGTGGGTAATGGGACCTCCTTTCCCCCCCAATAGGATGAGTTCATCTATCCGGGGTCAGGCATTAGCATTACGAACTGTAGGGAACTGCCTTGGGTGACAACCCAAGATTTGAGTAGGACCCCTGGTTGATTTTGATCAGGGGGGGCGGGGGTCCCCTCTTCCTCTTCCCCTTGAAAAGAGGGGATTCATCATTGTCGGGAACTCTCCCTATGGGATGGGTTTATTTATTTGGGACAGAGGAACAAAGTGTGGCCAGTCTTTCGTGGATTCGACTCCCCCGAGATCTGGAAACTTTTTGATTCTCTATTGAACAGACACAGGTTTCGATGCTTTTGAGTGGCAATCCGGGGATCGCTTCGCCGCGCAGGATTCGGGATTCGCGAATCCCAAATACAATTTTGGGATTCGGGATTCGCAAATCCCAAATCCCAAGTCCAACTTTGGATTTCGGGATGAGGGATTCGGGATTCAGGATACGCGAGTCCCAAATCACATTCTCCAGGATCACGTCCATGTTTTTGCACATTGAGCAGTCCCACTCAGTTCTTGCAATCATCATAGCCTGTCTAGAACCAAAGTGGAAATGGCCAGTGACTCTTTGTACCAGGGCAATTCCCTTGTCCGAACGTTTAGAGTAGAGACGGAATCAGCGTGTTGTTTGTTTTTTTTCTTTCCGAAGTGGTCTTGCAAATGTGCCCTTCAACGCAACACAGTTCAATATCTGAATGGTGATTCCCAAGAGTTTCGCTGGGGAGTAAAAACAGCTTACCCATTTGCTAAAGGGACCTGCTCAAGCTATTGTGTGGCCAGTTGATGAGTTAGAATGATTAATTGCTAGCAACTGGAGCGTCAAATCAATGACTGCTTGAGCAAATCATGTTGTTTCTTCACCCCATCAAGGTCCTTGAATATTTCTTTGATTTTTCGTTGCACTAGATCAATATTGAGCAGATAGGGATATTTTGTTTAAAGGGGTTGCTTGTTTTTTTGTGTTTTTTTCAAGAGGCTTTCCCTTTAGCTACGTAGCTAGCAAGCCAATTGCCCTCCCTCCAACACTCAGGAAGACTTTTGAGGACTACTTTCTCTCTAAGGAAAGCCCCTCATCAGCTTTCATGATGGTTGGACAGTGGGTGAGCGGGTCATGTTGAGAGGCTGAGCTTCGGGTCTTGCCCAAGGCCGGACACCTTTCGAAGCGGGAGACCCTGCAGAGCATAGGCGCGACTTTTGGTTTGCCGACGCTGGTCCAGACGCTGGGTTCGGCTCGCTAGATCTGGAAACCGAGTTGTCCACCGGATTTGGTGGGGAAGCCAAAAATCATGGGGGCTGGGGGGGAGGGAGGGGAGGGGGAGGGAGCCCAACAAGCCCCAAATAAGGCCTTATTAAGGGCTTAATAAGGGCTTATTTGGGCTCCCTCCCCCCTCCTCCCTCCCCCCCAGCCCCCCTGAAAAAGGTGTGGGTTGACAAGGGTGTGTTGACAAGGGTGTGTTGACATGGGCGTCAAGTGGTAGAACGGGCCTTGTTCCTGCTCGAAACTACGGCGGTTTAAAGGAGAACCAACCGGAATCCGGCTGTGACAAATATGCATGGAGAAAATGGGATGCATACAATGCAGGGGTCCTTATATTATAACTTTATGTCCCTTAGCTGTTTTTCAACCGTTCTTTGGCGATTGGAGAAGCCTCTCAGGTGGGATGGATGCGGCAGCCTGAAATCTGAAATGGAGCTCTGAAAGTCTCCTGTCTCTGGGTCTCCTTCTGACCCTTTGAAAATGGTTGGTCATTGCCCAAAAGGGGGCATGGACCCATTTTTTAAGGGTCATGGAGACAGGTGGAAATGGGTATGCAACTTTCTCAGACCTTGTAGTGGACTAGTGGACATCATGTAGCTTGCGATCCATGCCCACACCACTTTGGAGCTTCGCGAAGTTCACAAATTAACGGCCAACTTACTTGGTCAGATGAGCCACAATCAAAACGCGGGTAGATGAAGGTTAGTAAGGGGCAGTCCCAGCCAGAAACAGTTGCGGCCGCCTTCTTAATTCGTTACATAGTTCTGGGTAGACCATTGTACTACCGGGTTTTGATTATGACTCAGGTGACAACCACGGCACCTGCTGCCACGGCAAGGGCTTACCCGGCCTCGCTCCCCCGGCGAAGTCACTGGTGGAAGCTCTGCGTCTCGGCTCATCGGCCCAGGCGTATGCCAGGAGCTGGTGAAGCAGATTGCCCAGCTCGCCGCTCGGCTCAGCTCACCGCTCGGCCTGAAGTTGGTTCCTCTGCTGACGTTGACCCAGGATTAGTAACCCGTCCCCTTGTTAGGGGGGTGTTCCCTCCAAAAGTGCTGAATCCCAAAAGGGGACACCCCCAATCAAAATCAACCAGGGGTTCTGCTTAATCCGGGGTTAACATTACCATTGGGTGAACTTCCGGGTTCCCAACCATCCCCTTTCGTTTTTTGATGTTTGTAGGATGCAGCTTTAGATGTCATGTGCCATTGGCCTAAAATGTGTCTGCATTATGGCGGGCTCACCCGATTCGGGGGTAAAACGAGCTCATGGTAAAGGTCCTTTACTTGGGAATCCCATTCTTATGTCAGGCTTTGGAGATATTGTGAAACAAAATGCAGACGTGTGTTACGTTCCCGTGTTGGCTTTAAAGGGGGATCTATCACTGCTGGAAATGAAGTGTATTTTTCCAGGGACTTAAGCAAAGGGAAGTTTGGGTTCCCCTTTAAATGGGTCAAAGCGATGCTCGGTCCCCGTTTAGTCCAGTGTTGTTTTGTTGTCCCAGGTTCCCCTTTTCGGCCCATCCTTGTGTGCGATCATCCTGTTTGCTAGCTTGCTAGCTTGCTTGTTTGCTTTCTTGCTTGCTAGCTTGCTAGCTAGCTAGCTTGCTTGTATTGCTTGCTTGTTTGTCGTTTTTGCTAGTTGGTGTGCTTGTTTGTTCTGTGTTTGCTTGCTTGCTCGCTTGTTTGTTTTGTTTCGTGTTGTTTTGATTGTTTTGTTTCTCTTTCGGTTTGTTTGTCTGCACGTATGCCTGTTTGCGTGTGTGTGTGCTTGTTTGCTCGCTGGCTCGCTCGCTTGTTTGTCTTCTTGGTTGTTTTTTGCTTTACTTGTTGGCTTGGTTCCGTGCTTGTGTTTGTGGCCTGTGTGTTTGCTAGCTTGCTTGCTAGCTTGCTTGTTTGTTTGTTTGTTTGTTTGTTTGTTTGTTTGTTTGCTCGATGGTTTCTGCGTGCTTTGTTTGTTTGTTGCTCGCTGGCTCGCTCGTTCCTGTTGCAGACACTCTCCCGCGGCTTAGCGATCCGAGGAGTGGCATGCCCGGCGATTGCTGAAGCCCTTGAAGGCTGCGAAGGCGCGAGCGAGAGACGAGTCCGGACGCTGAAAGCGACTACGACTCTGGACCACACACTCATAGAATAAACCTTTTCCTGAGAGGTGGGTATTATGTAAACCTAGGTATATGTACATAGTGAGATGCATGTGTATATATATACATATATATATATAGAGAGACATCCGTGTAATCATGAAGTTGCATATATATATATATATATTATACATATTGTGTCTATATACACATACAAACACATACATACTCACATGCGCACTGCTGCTTACAGATAAAGCTATGAGCATGGAACGGTATTTGTGGCCGCCGTCCCTGCCAGGAGCGGACCGCCGCCTCGGAGCAGCTGCTGCGGCAGGCTGCAGGCCGGATGCCCAGTGGGCGACTCATGGACCAAGGGAGGCTATGGAGCTGAGGTCATCCCCCTCCGGGGATTCGCAACCTTCGGGCCAGTGCTTTGTGGTTGGAGGCGAGGATCTTTACCATAAGACCATCACGGGAGGTTGCTGTGGATGGCTGCGAAATCCGTTCGCACCGCCCAAGAAGCCATGGTTGAAACCATAACGTTTGTTGGATTTTGTTGGTATTTACAGGGGGAATCGTACCATTCGAGGGTTTCCCAGGTGGTGCAGGATTTCGTCCATCCACGGTATGGAACTGGGGTCATCCCCTAAGCTAACAGCGTCACCTTGCGATCGGTGCGAGAGATGCATGGAATGACAGTTCTGGAATGACCCCGAGAAAAACCATCCAACTGGTGGTGTCCTTTAAGGGGACCAACGCCTGGGTTCATTCCCTCATTTTACTGAGCACCAGCAAGAAGGAGGCCCAATGCAAGTGAGGGGAGAGAGGGAACAACTCTGCTCAGGTAGCCTTTCATTGGCGGCTTGTGGCTTTGAACCCCTGCTTGAACTGGGAGTATCACCAACATTGTGCAAGTTTCCATTTGTTGGAGTCTGGCCGAAACTTGCCACTGAGATGTTCAACCCACTTAAAAAGGATTGCCACGGTTATACACATTATGTTACATATTCATGTGTATATATATATATATATTTATATATATATATATACGTATAACAGTTTGTACATCACTGGGTGTGTTTCCCTTGTACAAGCATGGCTATAACTTGCTTTCTAAATGAGGGCCTTTTCAATGATATATACTTCCATTTCCCTCCTTTCCACTTCCCTTGGCAAGAGGATGGCCAAGGCTGTGGCCTACTTGCCTGTGCTCTCTAAATTGGTTTGTGTTCAGTGGTTTCCCTTCAACCCCGGTTCAGGGGTGGGGGAGGAGGTTGTCGCTGACCGGTCACGAGAGCTCGACTGGAGACCCGAGGCCTGGAGACGTCGCACCGGCAGCTGGCGAGGAGCCTGGCGCTGGCGCTGACGAGCCTCGGCCTGGGCCGCGGGCCCTGCTGCGCGGAAGGCAAATGGCGCGCGCGCGCGGACGCGTGCGGCCGGCGCCGAGGAAGTGCGCGCGCGCTTTTGGGGTGGGTGGGGGGGGGCGATGTTCTCACCCAAAGGGGGGGGACGAGTTTGTTTTGTTGTTCTTCTTTTCCGGGGGGAGGGGGGGGCGGGGGAATTGGAAAGCCGGGGGGTTTATGGGCGCAGAGGTTGTGGGGAGGGGATTTGGGGTGCCCGGCAGGCCATGCCATGGATGCGGTTCCTTTGCCAAGCCTGGCAGCTGAGCAGTGTGGGGCCTGTGCCGCTCGGAAAGTAGAAGGCACTCTTTCATGGTTGTTGTTGGGAAACATTTTCCCATTTTTGCTTGTTGTGGTTTAGTGGGTAATCCCCACTTAACTGCAAAACATTGATAATTTTTGCTCCCCTTCCAACGTCAACCAAGCTTTGGACGATGTATCCGAGTAAAGAGGATTACAAGACATAAAGTTGGGGAGGTTGTGCCTTCTATACCCATGGGTTCAGCGCCATGTTTTTTTTTTTGCCATGGGAGGGTTTCGACGCGGAAGACTCAAAAAAGCCAGCTGGTTGCTACGATGAAACTAGGAGCTGAGGGCAATCCAAGTTTTCGTGACCAAGAAAGATGTTCCTTGAGAAAGGAACAGCTGCTGTCCTACTTGAGGCCTTACTTGTTGGCAACTGGGATCCAAACATCCCGCAGGTCCCTGTATGGCCATGAGATAAATAGGAACCCCCCTGGAATGTGAGTGGTGGACATGAATCCCCACCTAATGTCCACCTGAAAAAAAACCCAATGAAAAGACCATAGCCATTTAGGTATGTGTTTTCTTGATCGATACCCTTTTCCTGCAACTGAAGGGAAGCCAGGCCTCCCCCCCCTCCAGCCCTTCCCCCCGCTCCCCCGCTGCCCCCGCCCCTGAGCCCTTGGCGCAGGGCCGTCTCAGCGCGCGGGCCGGGGCGGAGGCTTGGGAACCCTGGTGGAAGTGCCGCACCTGCTTCAGGCGCGGAGACTCGGACGGAAAATGCGAACCGCGCCAAGAGGAGCGGATGCTTCCCTAAGGTTTCCCTTAGAGTCTCTAAGGCTTCCCTGGTATTCTGTGGTTTATCGTTGACTTGATTTCCGCTGTGTGTTTGTGTTCGTTGTTGTCGTTTGGTTGCTGTGACCGTCTTGCCGTGGCTACGTTTGGCGCCTGGAAAGGAACTGTCGGCGAGGCGTTCTCAGCTCTTGAAGTCACGGATATAGCTTCAGCACGAATCAAGAGAAGCGCCTGGTAGATTCATAGATTCCAACCCCCCGCCCCCCCCCCACACCCCGACCCATCCGTGGAAGGCAGAGCTTCCTGGTGCTCTACTGCGCGGAGTGCGGCAAAGACGCGCAGGACGCCTCCGCCGAGGCAAGGCTCAGCAACTTGGCGCCGGCCAAGCAGTGGCCGCGCCTGGTGCGGCGCCTGAGGCTGGGCCTGGGTGGCGTGGCCCGAGTTTTTTTTTTTGTGTGTGTGTGTGTGGTGTGTGTGGTGTGTGTGGTGTGTGTGTGTGGTGTGTGTGGTGTGTGTGGTGTGTGTGGTGTGTGTGGTGTGTGTGGTGTGCGTGGTGTGTGTGTGTGTGTGTGTGTGGTGTGTGTGGTGTGTGTGTGGTGTGTGTGGTGTGTGTGTGTGTGTGTGTGTGTGTGTGTGGTGTGTGTGTGTGTGTGGTGTGTGTGGTGTGCGTGGTGTGTGTGTGTGGTGTGTGTGGTGTGTGTGTGTGTGTGTGTGTGTGTGTGTGTGTGTGTGTGTGTGTGTGTGTGTGTGTGTGTGTGTGTGTGTGTGTGTGTGTGTGTGTGTGTGTGTGTGTGTGTGTGTGTGTGTGTGTGTGTGTGTGTGTGTGTGTGTGCGTGGTGTGTGTGGTGTGTGTGTGTGTGGGTGTGGGGTGTTGTGTGGTGTGTGTGTGTGTGTGTGTGTGTGTGTGTGTGTGGTGTGTGTGTGTGTGTGTGTGTGTGTGGTGTGTGGTGTGTGCGTGTGTGGTGTGTGTGTGTGTGGTGTGTGTGTGTGTATGTGTGTGTTGTGTGTGATGTGTTTGTTGTGTCTGTTGTGTGTGTTGTGTGTGTTGTGTCTGTTGTGTGTGTTGTGTGTGTTGTGTGTGTCTGTTGTGTGTGTGTGTGTCTGTTGTGTGTGTGTGCGCGCGCGCGCGCGTGTGTGTGTGTGTGTGTGTGTGTGTGTGTGTGTGTGTGTGTGTGTGTGTGTGTGTGTCTGTGTGTCTGTGTGTGTGTGTGTGTGTGTCTGTGTGTGTGTCTGTGTGTGTGTCTGTGTGTGTGTGTGTCTGTGTGTGTGTGTGTGTCTGTGTGTGTGTGTCTGTGTGTGTGTGTCTGTGTGTCTGTGTGTGTGTGTCTGTGTGTGTGTCTGTGTGTGTGTCTGTGTGTGTGTCTGTGTGTGTGTGTCTGTGTGTGTGTGTGTCTGTGTGTCTGTGTGTCTGTGTGTCTGTGTGTCTGTGTGTCTGTGTGTCTGTGTGTTTGTTTTTGGTGGGGTAATGACGAAAAGTCCGTCACCAAGCAGCCCAAACCCAAAACAAAGGATGGTCTAAGACTATGATTGCCTTTGTTCGGTGGTTCTCATCAGGAAATGGCAAGGACATGTTGGGAACGAACTTGGGGATCAGCTTAAAGGACATCAGGTCATGTTTACAGGGTGCTACGACATTGATTCCGTTTTTGTTTGCGTTCAAATTCAATCAATCGCCGGATGGTAGTGATCCGCCCCGTTCGTCAGGGCACGCCTCGCGGGCAAGGAAGAAGAGGAGAAATACGAGGAGGAAGACGAGGAGGACCATGGGGTTGGCCAATTGAGAAGAGGAGGAGTGGTGCAGGCGAACCAAATAATGTTGACCCCATGTTAAACAACACCTGACTGAGTTTAGTGCCGGATCATCACTTTTGGTGAGGAGCACCCCCTATTAGCAAACTGGCGTTGATTCAAAGGGGTCAACATTGGGGAAGGTCTAGAAAGGGGTATGGAACGCCCTTAAAAAGCTGGTTGCTGTTTTTGGCCTTTCCCAGGTAACCCCTAGGTCGTGGTTTGGATTGGGTTGGGGATTTGAAGCCCTGTTTACCGTTCTTGCCGGGGGTAAATGGGAAACCACCCCTAAACGACCAATCCACCGGGCTCCAAACCAACTAGAGGGAAGCTGATTTCCTGTGGCTTCCACCCCCCAAAGGCATAGAAAGACACAACTGCATGGTCGGGCACTAGAGATTTGCACAGTGGTGGAATGGGTTGCGCAACCATGAAGGGACATCATGTCAACCACGTTTGGTATATTTGTTTGAACGCAAGAGTCGGGCCACCAGAAGGTGAACACAAGGGACACGTGGGCGGATATTTGCCGCCTATTTGGAGATATAGTCAGAGTAGATCCGCTGGATGGAAAGGAGACCCACAAGCAATCCGAATGGTCTTGTTTACACCGTCCCTAATTTTTGGAAAGGCTGGTTGCAGTTGTCCAGGAGCCATCAGGTACTTCTCTAGTCTTTAGGCATGTGAATTGTCCAGTGGTTCCAATCCCTTCCGGCGTATTTCGCAAGGGTGGTCTTTCCATTTCTCGAGGACTCTTGTTCCAGTGGCTCGGGTCTGTCAGACCTTTCTTGGTTTCCACCTGTGATAGCAACTGAGCATGTTAATGGTTTGTTGCCAAGCTGGGGGAAAACCAATGTTTCCATGCCCCGAGAGGGCCAGGTCAATTTTGTGTTGTGATGTCATTGTTTTGTTTCATTTGCTGGCATGGAGCAGCTAAAATCAGGCCTGGAGCATTCAGATTTAGATCGAGGCTGACTCGGATTCTTTTTGCAGAGGGAGCTGCATCGGCAAAGGTGGAACCAGAATTTGGTCGTAACAAGATGTGAGGCAGATGTGATTTCAAAAACTGGTAGTTGTCGATGTTTGTTGTGTGTCCCCTTTTTTTCCTAAAACAGAAACTGGCGTTGTCAGGAGGAAATCCTGTACGGCGAGTGTGATATGCGCAACCCCTCGCCGGACACGTCCCGTGGCCGGAGTCACAAACTGGCCTTGGATCCAGGAAGTTGGACGCTGATATGGACCTGTTAGCTGAACATATGCCCTAGAGGCAATTTGGATGATGAAACTCCTTAGGGAAATACAGGTGGTTATATACACTCCTTGATGAACTGGTGGTTTGAACCGCAGGGTATGGCTTGTTCGAGTTCTCAACCCGAAGATTGAAAACAATATATCAGGTGTGGTCCGACTTTCTGGGTGCGAGTCGGGTCCCAGAGCGAATCCATCCTTTGACCTTTGTGGTTTCCCTTGGTGCAACTCTGTGTGTGTGTGTTTTATTTTTATTTTATTTTGTTTTCTTTCCTTTTTTTTCTTTCCTCTTTTTTCCCTCAAGTGCCCTTGTGACATTGTTAGGGGTTGTCTTGAAGAGGATTCAAAGAGATTTCCATTTTAGTGGTTTTCTATTTTGAGACAACCGCTCGGAAAATACTAGTTTCAGAATTATTGGTTTATTGGTTGCTTGTCCGGATCTTGAACGTTCTTTCGTAGGGATTTTGGGATTGGGCTTCCAGCTTGCGAGGCCAACATGGAGCGTCTCCTTTCTCCCCTTCTCTTTTTTGGCGGCAAAAACGCAAATGCTGGCTCCGCGTCCGCTGTTTGTGGATTTGGTTTAGAAACAACTGAGTCGGGTTGCCAAAACCGGGCAGATGAGTGGACCAAGCGAGCAACGCATGTTAGCAAGTCCATCAATATAATTCAAGGCCATGGCCACTGGGCGTCTGAGTCCGATTCACCCGTGTGAGGTCCCTGGACCCCTGCGGTTCCGCCTCGGGCCTCAGCGCGCCACGGATGCTCAACGCGCCCAGCCCGCGGGCGGAGGACGCCGAGCTGGTCTTTTGGGAGGAGGCGGGGGGTGGGGCGGGGGGTGGGGCCAGGAAGGCTGCCGGTAAGGGGCTGGGTAGGGCAAAATATGGTTTAAGCACCACCTTTTACAAGGGAAGAATCATCATAACCAGTGGTTTAAACATGTTTAAATGGGTGGCCCCACCCTAGTAAGGAGCCGTGCGAGTTGATGCTCGCGGGCTTTTGGAAGCAGCTCTTTAGGATTTTGTGACTCCGTGAGCGGTCGCTTGCTTGAGGTTGCTTCCTTGAAATGCAAAGATGAAGGAGACAGGTGAGCCCAGTTGTTGCGTGGAAGCCTTTATTCCACCCCTTTGGCTAAAAAAAGTTTGCCCCAGAATTGTACGTTTTGTTTGGTGGGTTCCTCTCTGAAAATCGTTTGCCCCGGAATTTTGCAATGGATCAACTGCGGGACTCCATGCACCTCCATCGCCTTCTCAACGCGGAACTGCACACCGGATTTCCGTTTTGTTTGGTGGCGAGCGACTCTGTCGACCCCGGGTTAATCAATATCATTGCCAGGGCAATTGATTTCTCTCGGATTCCCTCTTCAATGGGACACGGGTTCCCATTGCGCCACCCACCGCGGATTCTTCTTTTTCTTTTTTTTCAGAACCCCGAGAGTGCTGAGATCTCAGCAGCCAGGGCAGCTTCGGCCCTTCCGCTGGCATTTTCCTGACCCAGGCCGGGTTTTGGTCTTTTTCCTAGAAGGGAGCGTTTCAGGACCAGTGTGCTTCAGCGTTCGTTTCAGGTCCCGGCCGTGTTTTGTTTCATTTCGAGTCCTTGTTTTTGACACCTACCTGAACTGCGGGGATGGTGTGGAGCCCGTGAGGTTCCCAAGGTCCCACCGAGCATTGTAGGCCCTGGAAAGCGCTCGGGGCCCGGGCTTGCGGCTCAGTCTTAACGGACAATTCTCTTGCTGGAACTGGGTGCGGTTTTCCGCCTTTACATGCTTCTGGGTAGACCATTTTAATTCCGAGTTTTGATTGTGACTCATATGCTGAAATGCCCACTTGTCCAGCATTGGATTCACTAGGTAATTGGAAGGGAGCTGGGGATATCCAAACTGTAAGGACATGGTGGATCATTTCTGCTGCGCTCTTATCTCCGTCCTGTTGTTCAGATATACTGTGGGTGCCTTGCTGCACTGTGTAGCGGACCCGGCACAAAGAAGTCGGATCAATCCTTCAATTGGAGACACGCCCACATAAATGTGACCACCTAGTAGATAGCCAAGTTGCTGCTTTTTTCAGTCACTGTTGCTGGTGTTTGGAATAAAATGCATGAAAAAAAGCGATCGCAACTGACGATCCAGGCAGCAGCACAAAAAAACTTTGCAGGTCTTTGTTTGCTTGTAGCATTCCGCCACTTCGGTGTCATGACCCGCCAGGAGCAAGAGCACAGCAGCGTGGCGTCATCGGCATCGCCGCTGGTTCCGTCCGTGGCATCGTCGCCGGAGCCGGAGCAGTTGTATCCAGGTGGGGGACGGTAGTAAAGGTCGCCTGTAAGGTCAGTTTGGTTGAAGATACATATTTCCAACTGGTTTCAGTTTGCTGAAAGTGTCTTAGAGTGGCATTCGTGTAGATTTGGACACTTGCTGGCAGGAAGGGAGGCACAACGAGGCACGGAATTATTTGTAGTTTTAGAATCGATTGAAGTTGAAAGGCACAAACGGACCAAGTATTGATGGGAAGAGGGAAGGAATTCAAGCCATGGGGCGTATTTGGCTTCTGAAACTGCCCTCGTGTTCGCCAAAGAAAGCACTGAGTCACTGGCACATTTTGCACAGCCTGAGGTCAGTGAATGAGTCAGACGTTGTGGGGCTCACACCTTGCAGTCGTGGCTTCCAAAAGCAGTTTCAAGGCTTCTCAAAGCCGTTCCAAGGGCCTGCCAGCATTAGGGGAACCACACCTGCCACTCCGTAATGCTAACCCTGGATGAACTGGTTGATTAATAGTCCCCTTTTAGTGGGGATTCATCACTTTTTGAGGGAACATGCCCTAAAACGGGACGGGTTTCTTAATCCTGGGTCAACATTGCTGAGTTTTCACCATGGCTCTAGCTGCGTCTCCTCCTCGGCAAGGCCTGACTTTGTCGGCGAGGCGAAGCGACATATGGCCAGCGCCCCAGCACGGTGCTTCTGTTCGAATGCGAGCCGTGAGTGCTGATCCCCCACTAGTCAATTTGATGAATCAGCTTTTCCGTGTCTTGCGGTGTGGCTAACTTCCTAAACATACTCCTGGAGTTTCTTTCCATCCCTTGGTATGGTGCAAACACAAATCCCCTAAAAATAGACACCTGGATCGCCAGTTGCGATCGCTTTTTTCCGTGCACTTTACCCTGAAAGAAGCGGCAACTTGGCTATCTAGGCAGCACTTCCTAAACATACTCCTGAAGTGTTCTTTCCAACCCCTGGTATCTTGGTATGGTAGCAAACACAACTCCCCTAAAAATAAATAAGCAACCTCCCTAAACATACTCCGGGAGGTTCTTTCCAACCCCTGGTATGGTAGCAACCCTCGAAAAATTAGCAAGCAACAACCTAAAAACGTGAAATCCCCCAAACAACAAACAGCAGCAACAACCTAAAAAATGTGGCCATCTAGGCAGCCTCCCTAAACATTCCTAAACATACTCCTCTGGAGTTTCTGTCCAACCCTTGGTATCTTGGTATGGTAGCAAACACAACTCCCCTGAACACAAATAAGCAACCTTCCTTAACATACTCCTGGAGTTTCTTTTCAACCCCTGGTATGGTGGCGACACACAAATCCCCCGAAAAAATACACAAGCAACAACCTAAAACACATGAACCCCCCCCCAAAAACAATAAGTAGCAACAACCTAAAAACAGAAGCCATCTAGGCAGCCTTCCTAAACATTCCTAAACAATAAGTAGCAACAACCCAAGTCAAGAAGCCATTCACCGGGACGAGTTTGGTTTCTTCCGTTTCCCCATTGCTACCCTCCACCTGAGCCCAGGAAGCCTAGACCGGTGCCCACCAGCGCCGGGACCAGCCGCTGCGCCACGCCCGCCACGCCGATGCGCACGCAGACGCCCAAAGCAGACGTCAAGGCGGCAGAACGGCGGGGGAGGTGGGGTGAGGTTCCGATGGGTTGCATTTTGCTTTGTTTGTAGCTAGTAGACTAGGTAGTCCGTGGGGGTTCTTTGGGTCTTTTTGTTTCGACCATGGGTCTTGGAATTGGATTGGCAAAATCAGTCTTTGCCCAGCGATGAGGAAAAGTGACACTTGTTTGCCGGGGGTTCAGAGGCCAGGCGGCCAACCCAGCTTTCAGAGGGCAGGGCGCTCTTATTTTCCTCCTAAGGTAGCTTAAACATCACTCTTTGCACGAGGTCAACATGAATTTCCCGGTTGGGACATGCTTCAAGGGGGCATGGCACTTAGTAAGACGACCCCTCACCAACCATGCAGGTGGGCCTGTTTTGAAAGGGTTTGGATGAAAACCGAAGGAATCCAACAACCAGAGAGGATTAAGCTTGACCCAAGATCACGAAGTTTTTGGTTGATGAATAGGGGGGTCCCATTTAAGAGGGAGCCGGATCGCTTTTGGGGGGGGAATTTCCCCGTATCAACCCAGCAGGTGATGCGGGGTCATGGATCATTTTGTACCACGGTTCTCAAGTCTGCGCTCTTCTGGTCTATGTTTCCACGGCGACGGGCTTACTGGAGGCATCCCACCCGATAGAAATTGATTTTGGGGAGGGGGTGGGAATTCTGGAAAATGTATTTATGGTTTCAATGAGTAGGACACTTCTCTTGGCTGTGGGATCAAGGGGGTTGTCTCCACTTCTGTGATACAAGGAAGTCACCCTTTATAGCCGGGGGGTTGGTCAAAAAGGGAAGCCCTTTTTGCTGTACAGAAGTGGATTCCATTTTTTACGGTCCTGGCGACCCCCCCCTCCGCCCGGGGGATCCTGAGGCCTTGGTCCTCATGACTCCAGAGCAGAAGCGCCAGAAGGACCGGGAGAAAGAGAGGGTGGAGAGGCAGCATCTTGGCAACGCTCAGATCTGCGGTGGTGCCTTTCCTTTGGTGCATTTTGCCAAGGGATGTTAGGGCTTGAACTTTTTGCCAACTCATGGGTTGTCCATTAAACCACTAAAGGGGTTTAAACTTTTAGCAGGGGAGCAGCAAGCAACCGAGTTGAAGTGTGTTTTCTATTTCGAGTATCTAAAAGAAACATACACGTGGTTTCCCCACGGCGGCTTGAGGTCTGGGTTTAGGTTGCTGTGTGTTTTCACGGGATGTGTTGTTTGTTGGGCAGGGCTACCATCTTGAACGACCCCTTGGGACTACTTTCGGAAGAGGTCTTGAAAGCAGAGCAAATTAGTTTTGCCCCGCAACATCCCCCCCTTTATATATGGAATTGGGGGAGGGGGGTGACCTTTGGAGTTCTATGAATGGTTCCATTTCCTTTGTGAGGGGAAGACTAGATAACTGGAATTGGGGACCCCCCACCCCCCTCCCCCTTATGGTAGGGGGATCCCGCAACATGCTTTTTCCTCACGACGGGAGTGATCGCGGGCGCTGTGTCGATTGCCAAGTAGTCATCGTCGACTCACAGCTCCCGAGAGCAACCCGCCCGAAAAAAGGGATCCAAATGTAGGGGGGGAGATGGATGGCTAGATGCATCTGGGAGTGATTTGGCACTCAGAACATTCTGGGTACTGGGGTTAAGTCGTAGCATCGTGTGTTAAGTCGTGGCTGGTAGTGTGTTAAGTCAAACGCGGCTGAGCGTTTGCCCTTGGGGAAACCATGTAGCCGAGCATCAGCTTAAGGAATATTCGCAGCTGTTAGTTACGAGTGTGTTGCTTCAGGGGAGCGTGTGCCAATGCATTCGAATGCTCAAACAGAGCTCTGAAAGGTTCCTGACATGCACCGCTTCTTGCTGTCATCAGCTTGCCATTTGCAGAACAACGTGAACGCTCAGGCGCCTTTCATGTTACTTGAAAGCACCTTCCTGGTTGTAGCGTTTCCAGTGTACTTCATCTCTTCTTTGCGCAACAAAAACACAGAACACCCAACGCATGTCCATGCATTTCCACTGTAATTCCCTTTTTCACGTCACCTCGAAGTACTCGCTGGCGACTTAACTCGACCACTTGTAGAACCTGCATAAAGCTGACATGTAGACAGCATTGATGCTTCTGCAAATGATGCCATTCCGCCTATGTGTATTCCGCGTTTGTATTGGCACTTTGCTTCCTGCTCAGTCAGTTCCCTCACAGGAGCAACGCATCCCTCATGGACAAACTTTGACCATTCGTGTTTCTCCAGTCTATTATAAGAAGTGCGCCCTTTTTCATAATGCGTGCTTGTGCAAAGCTCAATACCAAATTGAATAAGAATGAGGCCAGGCGTATGGCGTCAGCTGATCCGATGGCCAGATGGCTGTGGATCAAAACCAATGGTACCATTTTGGGGTAGGTGCACCACCCATTTTAGCCTATTTTAGTTGGGATTGGGATGTTCACTGGAAGTACGGGCTTTTGACCCATGGCCATTGGTCTCCTAAGGATCATCACGCGGCGTGCCAAGCTACCCATCAGCCCCGGGCTGGAGAACGCGGGGCCCCTGGGCCCCCGGGCCGGGGGGCGCGTTGGACTGTTGATGTGGCGTCGCTGGCGAGATGGGGGCAACCAGGACACTTTAGGTATGGGCCAGAAGGAAAAACCATCAGAGCGGGAGAAGGGAAGACCATCAGAGCGCCATAAATTCGCCCATGTTTCCACTTTTGAATGGCAACCCATTTGGGGTGCGTATGTTTGACCCACGCCAAATTTGGGTCTCAAAGTTCGGGGACAGGGGCACGGGGCATCTCCGAGGCGGTGTCCATGCCGTGTTGGCCTACGGGGGGTTTTAGGGTCCATACCTTGCCCGGGTCCCTTGGTACCTGAAGATGGCATCTGGGGTAAAAAGGGGTTTAAGTATTTCCTCCTCCTCCTTAGAAGGTACTTGGACCCTTTGAGCTTTGGGTTGTATTTCCAGCTCCTTTGGTTGAGCCACAAAGGCTTCGCCCCTTTTGTTTTGATTTCGCACGGTGGTGCAGGATTTTTTTTCCATCCACGGTATGGGTCTGTGTCAAAATAGGGATTGAATTGGACCCCGAAAGTGGTGGTTGTCCTGCTGGTGCCCCTGTTAAAAAGGGTACCGAGCCTCCAAACATGACCTAGTGTCACCAAGATGATTAGTTTCCAGTTGGTTCCCCTTTGACTCTCAACCCATGTTGATGCAACAAAACCAAGCAATGTTCTGATTGGTTTTTCTTTGGTGTCCCTTGAAACTTTAACTATTAACCAACAGGAAGGAATCGAAAAAAACCGGCTTACCCGCAGGTTTCCTATGCCTGGATTCGCCATTCTGAGCGGTGACAGGTGATTCTGGATCAGAATGGCGAGCTCAAAAGACCCAAAGTCCCGAGCCGCGTGAAGCAGCGCGTGACCAGCGCCAGGAGCGATCGATCGCGGAGGGGTGGTGTTGTGCCTTTTGGTTCTGATTATACGTAGAAGTGTTTTTTCTGCGTTGTTCGCAGTGTATGCACCTGTGAGTTGTTCCTGTGAGTTTTGGGTACTTCCCCAAAAGTACCAACAAATGCCAATTGCACTTGTGTGGCTAGATTGAAGGGAAACTGCAAGAGCCACCGCGGTAAAGCAAGCTAAATCTTTGGACGCTCCTGGGTTCCCTGCAGAGGACAATGGACTACCGGGGGTTTGCAATTTTCGGAAACAGACGAACCAACGGCGGGTAGACACGACCTCGATCCGGATCTAACTCGGATCCTGAGGGTCACTTCTTGGACCCAAAGTCGTCAGATCCTTTGCCTCGCTGGCCAATTTGCACCGACCCTCAGATATAGCCGAGTTGCAGTGCCTAAGCCGAGTTGCAGCTTGGGGAGGTCTCCTAAAACGGTGGCATCTTGGGTTGACCTTTTAGTCAAATGTGAACCCAGCGGTTTGGACCTTTTGTTTGGCCCGAAAACACAACAACGGCCGAACCTCCCCCCTCCCTGATGCCTTTCTCCCCGAAGCCACTTGGAAAGCACGGGCAGGCGAGACCAAGAGGCGTGCCTGGCCAATGACATCGCCAAGGAGGGGGGAAAATGTTCAGCGTACTGCAGTTTGTCGGGATCCCGGCTTCACAAATGAAGTGGGAGTGGGGACTTCTGGATTTTGTTCCATGTCCCCCTTTGCAGACTAGATTACGTGCATTTGCTTAAGAATATGCTTTGTTTCCCCTCGTGGGGCTTTGAAGGGAATCTGAAGTATTGTTCTCATTTTTCCAACGGGCGAAAAGATTAGAGAGAAGGGATCCTCACCCCTGCTGAGTTAGCGCCTGTGTTTCTGGCGGTTGCAGAGGTCTAGGTTTGGGCTGGTGTTTGCAACATCTTGGGGTTGTGGGGTGTGTCAAACGGGGATCCCCAGATGGGTGGCTTCCCTTTGGTTGTTCTTAAGTCATCCCCAACAGCGGTGCCCTCAGGAGAAAACAAAGCACACCCATTTGGCTTCTGCTAGTGATAGGTAGGAGCCAATCAATGGATGTTGTGTACTGCCAGGCGGAGCAGCCATGTATTATATCATGTCCGTGTTGCAGGGGATCCTTGTCCATTCCTGGTGCAGGGGATCCTTGTCCATTCCTGGCTGGCTCAAACATGACCAGTTGGTGGACTTCGGTGTGGTCGCCTTCTGTCAGGACCTCTTGTCCCGTCCCCACAGCGCCAGCGCGCGCGGACGCCCCCGGCCAACAGCATACGCAGTGGCGCCCAAGGAGATGTTCGATGGGACTTTGCAGGCGGGCGACGGAAGCTACCCTGCCACCATTGAGGTAGGCCTAAGTCTCTCAAAGGACAATGGTCTCCCAAGACTTGGTTCTATAGCATGGCCATAATATATATGTATACATATATAGAATATAAAATATATAATATATATATATGATATCATGAGTTGTATGTTTTCCGTCTTCCTATTCAGCACGGGTTCTCTTGGATCCGAGTCGAGAGGAAGGTTGACAAATGTCACCTGTGTGCGCTGCGCAGGACATGGACATCCCTGTTTGGGAGGAGGTTGTGGGCAACTGGCAGACCAGGTTGGCAGAAGGAGGACAGCGTCAGAAGTCTGATGGCATGTTGGCCAATCCTTCGCCGTTCTTAGCAAGTTTGGGTTTGTTTGTTGTGTTTTCAGTTGTTTGGTTCTGTTCATGTTGAAATTCGGTGGGGCTGCCACAAAACAGCGTTTTACGATACCGAGGGTTGGACAGAATGGATTTAGGCGACTGAGAGACAGCCCTCGCTGCTTGTGGGCTTGATGGGCTCTCATTGGGATGTCTGAAGATAGAGCATTTCTTTTGGTTGGCGTTTAAAGGGAAGCAGCAAAACAACCCTAGCATGCTTAGGCCTCCCGTATTGCTGGCCTGCTTCGTTTGGGTTCATTCGTGGTGTTGTTATACATAGGTCGAGGATGAGTTCCCGTAAGCCAGGCTATTTGCACCATTTGCAATAGTAATTAGTAATGGGCCCCCATGTCCGGCAACCATAGATGCAAGCTCCCGTAATCTGGTATTGTCCTGACTGGTAGCACCATCTGCAAGCCAAGATGCATCCAGCACGAGTCTTGCAGGACCTGGCTTTGCGCTGGCCCCGAGACCCGCGGGCGAAGTCGAAGACGTCGCCTTGGCTGCGGAGCGCCCGGAAAGTGCGGCCGCGGCGCCCGCTACGGAGCAGCGGTTACCGAGGCAGAGCGGTCCAGAGGGTGTTTGGATTTTGGGGCCCTGCCTGAAATGAAGTTCTTGCACTTGGTTTTCCCCTGTTGTTTTAAAGGGAATCTATGGCTACTGGAAATATGTTCATTTTTTCCAGGGGACTTAAGCAAATGGAGGAGTTGGGGACAGGAATCCCAACCGAAGTCATATCAATGGTCCCCATTAGAATTCACACCTTCATTTAACCATGTCGCCGGCCGCCGGATTAATCAACCTGAGGGAATAGTGATGCTTTCCCTGAAAGGGATCCGGATTTTTTCTGAAATGGGACACACCTTATCAATCAACTAGGAGTTTAATAATCCTTGGTTCCCATACGGGGGTCCCAACTGTTGATTGAGTTCCACTCTGAGCTGGTGATGTTTACAGGGGGGCATACAACCCTGAAGGAATCTTTGGAAGTGAGGCAAAGATGATTAAAAGGTCTCCAAGGTGTGTGAAACATGGGGTTTCAGCTTCCCACAGAACACCGGGCAGCTGAAACGTGAATCAAACATTTGCCAGTGTTGGTGAGACGCACGTTTGAGTTGGTCGGATTCAAATCAGCCCCCTGGCTCTCCGGCGTGGATCTCTGCGGGTCCCCATTACAACTCGTCCTCAAGATACCAGGCACCATAGAGGAAAACAAGCTATTTCCGTATAGTGTTACATTGGCTGTAAAGAAAGCTGTTGTTTGTTCCAAAATCGTGGGGCACCTGCATGGCCGCTGGGTCATCAGCAAGTGTCCAAGGCGAGCTTGCAAAGTTGCTCGAGCATAGCTGAGAATTCCTTTGCCAAACAAAGGTAAACCTACTGTGGATGAACGAATTCCTGCACCACTTTGTTTCCAGGAGAAACCATGGTTCCCTGGTATTTACAAGGGAATCAGACCATTCCAGGGCTTCTTAGGTGGTTGCGAAATGGATTTCGCAACCATCCACAGTACCTGCCGAAGAACCATCTTTGAACGGACCTCGGTTTAGATCAACATCCAGCTCTGAACTTGAGCGTACACGAACCGTGTTTGGCATGAATCCTATCACTGCTGGTTCTTTCGTGACAACCTGGTCCCATGCCTGCCTGGTTGTTTGTCGCCGATGTGTTCATACCTGGACCCCAAATGTGGTTCACACTTTGGCATCCATCCGCACAGAGCCATAAAGCCAAATGCAAGGACAACTAGGTGTGGGTCAAAATTGAACCACTCAGGGACCGCCGGGTTTTAGTCCATGTTTCCATTTACCAAGGTTCCATATTGGGTACCATTTTGTTTGACCCACAGCCAACTAAGAAACTTGGAGCCACCTCATAATGAGGGGTTCCTCAAGAACTTCGGAGACGTTGGTGGCCCTGGAAACTTACTACCCGTGCCGTGAGCTTTGGTGCCTCCAGGCCGTCGTCGCCCCTGTGTCAGGCGAGGCATTTTCCGGAGTGAGGGTGTCTGAATTCGAGGAGCCATTGCCAGACTTAGCACCTTCAACCAATAGCGGCTCACTTGCTCAAAGCGAGCCCCCAACAGTGGTCCATTTCAGTCATGGGCCCCAGAGGTTAACCTTTTATGTTGAGGTCCTTTGGGCAAATGAGGTGGGGTAACCACACAAGAAACAGTGTCAAAGAACGTAGCGTTACAAGTTATTTGCAGCCGACGCCTAGTGAAGCTTTTGTGCGTGAGAGATCTACCAGTAGAATGGCACAGTCTGAGGAGGAAAAACAAGAAACTGCAAGGAATCGTCAAAACCAATCACCCAGACCAAAAGTACTGGGCATGCCCAACACAATTTGAGTTCCCTCAAAGACTTGTTGTGTTTAGGGGTCCTTCCAACAACCACGCAAATGGAGGGTTCCCACAAAAGGAGAGTAGTCTTCCAAAACCCTCGTGTCAGCTTCCGTTGTTGGAGGGAAGGTAAATGGGATGGTGTTTGGCAGTTAAAATGCCTATGATATTGCCTCATGCCTACTAAAACAATATCTATTTCCCAAAAACCGCTTCAAAATCCCAACACTTCGGGCATTGCTTTCTGATGGAGAAAGGTCCGCCTGACGATTGTTTCCCCAACATCCAAAAAAACAAAGTCGACATTTTTGCATGGCTTGACGTTTCCAAAAAGAAAGGCAACGAGCTAAGCCATATGTGTGTGTGTCTTGTTTTAGGGGAACCCCAAAATTATGCTTGTCCTTTTGAGCTATTTTCAATTTAAAGCCATAAAGCAGGTGCACAGTGAAGACGCAGCCCTTCCCCCCTCCACCCCCGACCCCCCTCCTCGGGCAGCAGCTCCACCTGGGTTTAGGAGAAGTTTCGCGCTTGGCGGCCGGCAGACTGGCTCCGCACCTCGATATGGAGGTTTCGAGAGGGCGCACCCCCTGTTACGGTGAGGAGACCCCCTCATAGTGGCGGTTGTGCTTTTGGTTTCCGTTTAAACCCGCCTGAAAAAGAGTACCCTCAACAAGACGGACACACATGGTGAAAAGTGAATTTTTGTAGAAGGTCGCGCATTTTGTGGGTAGAAATTGGTTGGGGTACTTGAGAAACCACATTTAGCATGGTTACAAGTTATAGATGTAAAATATTAGTTGTTTTTGCGCCTTGTACTACCCCTACCAAAGGAAGCACCGCAATGGGTGGAAAAGGTGATGTGTTTGACCACCACAAAGGGACACGTCAGTGTGTGTTGTTTGAGGCTCTGAACCGTTTTGGAGTTTGGTTTACAGGGAAAGCAAAAGGACAACCAAAACTCATTTTATTCATCCCCTATTTTGACATACCCATTTCCATATTGTCGCGGACTGTGAATCTGTTTGAAGGGTGGCTAAAAGGGAAACCCGTCTTTGACCAAAAATAAGAAGCTCATCGACCGCCACCCTCTGACTCTGAGCTCGTGACACAAGAACCCTCAAAACGCGTGGCGGAAATCGGGCGAATGGGTGGAGCCGGCGTGTTGCAAGCAAGTACACACATGAAATGGACACCCAATTTGGTGTGACTGCCTAGTGTCTAAACGGACCCCACGGAGGGTCGACTGATCGGCTCAGGCGAGGCGGCCCGCAAGCCTTGGGTGGACCCGGACCAAGTGATGCGTCACTACCACCAGCTTTGCCGATGAGTCTCAGTCCCGGAGTTCCCGGACTTGGTACTTTTTGGGAGCATTCGGATGTGGCAAGCGAGTTTCGGCTTTTGTTCGCATCCCCTCAGGGAGTGAGACGTGTGCGCCCCCAAAGAGACAAGAACGGCACGCAAGAGAAACCTGGAAGCACAGGCTGCCGAGTACAGAATAGTCCCTTTAGAAGAGTAAGACTGTTGGCATGGGTATATAGATTGGTTCAGGGTTTTTTCAATGCATGCTTGACCTTTCACAGTCACCACAAGCAGGAAGTTCCAGGAGCTTGCGCGCTTGTAGTCCGCGTGTTCGTAATGAATTTACCCTTGCGAAGCGTGTTGCTTTCATGTGTGTGTGTGTGTTTCACTCGTTCCATGCGCAGACAAAATGCTTGCGCGGTGCGGTTGCACTCTTTGCAGGCAGGACTGCCAAAGGCATCCAATCTTCCGCCAGCAAGAGTCGCTCGCTGTGGAACGTACACAAAGACAGGAAATCATACAATAGTTCTCCCTGGATCATCCACAAGACCGATACTGAGCCTAGATTGATGAATAGTAGGTTGTTTCTTGTTCAAAGGTCCTCTATATAGGGGTATCCCCCTCCGCCAACGAAAGGTTTGTTCATCCTGAGTCAGCATCATAACGAAGTCTTGATTTTGACCTGGTTTCCGATGCTTTTAGATGCTTTATGGGGTGGTCCAGAGTTTCGTTCGAAGCTCCTGCCCACAAGTAGCGAGAGGACAGCGGCAAGTAAAATAAATTTGCACGCCCGGCAAGACAGCTTGTCCAGATAGCCAGCGGTGTTATAGTCTTGCCATACAGTCACGACCCAACCACTGAGGCTGCTGTGTTCTAAGTTGTGTGCAAGGACTCTCATCTTATCATCTTATTAGAAGACCTCTCGATTTTCTGCACTGGGGTGAGGCGCACGTTGTTTGGGGTGGCGTTTCGCTGCTTTGCATGGATTTCGGCAGCTGCTGGCCCAAGTCAGCGGTGATTGCGGGCATTTGTTTGTTGCCGGCCTCGAGCTCATGCCTGTGAGCCACGGTGCTGAGCCAAAGCGAGGGCCGCCTCGGCAAGGCGGCGGCGATGTGTATGCATGGGGGAGGAGGGGGGGGGTTGGAGCCGGTTGGCAAGGCCCGGAATCAGCGAACTACAAGCCGTGACTTTGTTCGGCCAGCTGTGTTCCAATCCACGCTGCCCGCTCAAATGAAGTTGATGTGCAGGTCAGCCTTACATTGACGAGGGGTCGTGCTTCAAATGGGAACCGCTCCACATTCCAGCCCCACTGAAAAGGACTTGATTTGATGAAGTCTGATCTAATATCAATGTGTCGAGGAATCAGTTCCAAGGGCTTGTAGGTCGCCATTGGCTGCCCTATAGGATTTCCCCACAACGGGCACCGGGAACCGTTCTTGGTTTCACCTGGCCAGGGGGAGCGCCGCAACTTCGAGGCAGTGTCCTGCAGCCGTGCCCTGGCAGCCTGGGGGCATTTGAGAAGGAGCTGGAGCTTCCGCCGCAGGACATGGCTTTTGGGCTTGGGCTGGTGTATGGGACTGATGTTTTGCAGTTTTGCATATTTCCTCATCATTGTACCGGATCTTCGCTATGTGAAGGGCCAGACGGCGAGGGTCATTAGGCCATGCGTCAAGGGGTCAGGGTCGAGCTTCCGCCTTGGCCCCTCTTGCTATCTTGCTTGGCCAAAGCGAGTCCACTTTCGATTGTTTGGTGCGTCAAGTGGCCCAGGCCTCAAAAGGTTTTTCCATTTGCATAAGTGATGCAAGTAGGCTTCATATTTGACTCTCGGCAGGAGCAGAAGATCTCCTGTGTGCCGGACTTGTATCACTGGCAAGCCAGCAGGGGGGACTGGCTGATTGTGGGCTGCGATGGCATCTTCGACTTCTTGAATAACGAGAATGCGCGGCGCTCAGAGTTGAAACCTGGCCACATGCCTTGCTTGGGAACCCAGGACCTTCAAGTTTCGGATTCACAAGTTCCACTTCGTTTGGGGCAACACACCCTCAAGATTGATGGACTTCAGGATTTCGCCCGGAGATTTTCGCCGGCTTTCGCTGGGCCACGGGCTTGCAACCCAGGTGGTTGGGGTACTACACACAATGGCCAAACACGGAAAAGGCGCCGGCAGGACGGGGTCAGGCCACGATTCGGCACAAAACATGAGATAGAAGGGGCGACAAGTGGTTGATCTAATCCATCAACTCACTTCCTGAATTCCTGGACAAACTTTTAGGGAAGACCATGTTGGTGGTAAACAACAAGTTGGACTTTTGCAGGACTATCCACTCAGGAAGTGAGTCTACCTTATGCGTGGGTGCATGGGGGGTCCAAGATGCACATGTTCAGCAGGCAGGCTCAGCCTCGGAGGACATAATCAGACGCTGCCACGGGAGACAGGCGGATGACAACCTCACCATCATCGCGATTGAGCTGGGGTCGGTTGAGCAAAAGGCGGGGCTGCGGAAAAGGATACGGGACACAGGAGTTGAAATTGGGACATTGTTTATTTTTGTGGCCCTTCAGGTAAAGTCCGTGAACGAGCTTCATTTTCAAGGCTATACCGCCTTATTGAAATCGCTACGCGATCCGCCGACGCCAGTGGACAGTCCCCCACTCTTTAAACCACCCCCCCCCAAAGGGTATAAAAGCAAGGCCCCAATTTTTGTTGGTAAGTACAACAAGGCCTTCTTGGCACTTTCCTGCTTTTCATGTCCCAGATGCTGATGCTGGAAATGCAAGGGATGCAACCACACAACTTACAGGAACAGACCCAATCTTCGTGCTCAAGATTTTAAGACTTTCAGGCACTCAACATTGACTAAACACAGAAAATACCAGAGATGTGGGGAATGCTGGGAATGCAGCTGGCTAGCCACAAAAAAGTGCAACAAGTCGAGAAGAGAACCAGGCAGTCTTGCTAGCCACCGACTGTCGCACTTCTCAAGCAGTTGTGTTTTTGTTGTCGTACACACCGAGCTTCACGCGTTTTCTCGGGTCCGGTTTGAACAAAACGGCACCCGCCCTTGGCACGTGGACGCAAGGCCTAAGCCGTCGACTGCGCGGTCGACGGCTTCGACTTCAGAGCTTGTCAGCCGGGCTCCCCGGGCTTCCCGTGACTCGTCTCAAAGCGAAGTAAGAAAGCGTCGCACGTGAGAAATGTGAGGCCGGAGACTCGGATGTCTCCGTTTGCCTGGCTTCTTGATTTTCTTTAAGGAGAAATGCCCAGCTGCTTGGAATTGTTTGTGACATTTTTGTGAGCGCATCAACTGTGATTACACACAATATTTGCTGGCTGGTCAAGCTGATGCGATGTTTCTTTCGAGCATAGTAATAATCGCAAGAGAAGCTCGCAACAACCAATGGGAGTGTGCCGCTTTGTGCCGAAACAGTTTGCGATCTTGGCTTGCTGCGGGCTCTAAGTGTATGCTTGGCCAATTTGATGCTTTGACTGGTTGCAAATGGGGTCATTGCAGAAGCGCACTCATGGTGCTGTATTTCTCGATATCGTGCTTAAGTGAGGCCCCGCACCAATTTCCTTGCGTTCCTTTCTGCCCAGAATCCTGTAAACTTGCGAACTCAGGCTTGGTTTGGCTGCTGCTGCAGTCGGAAGTCCCAGCTGCTGTAGTGTGCGCAGGCGGACTGTGAGACGAATGTGGCTCATGTTAAAGCATATTCAATCCAGGTGCGCTTGCAAAATGTGCCCCACAATTGCAGTTTAGTCAGGGCGGGGCTGCTGCGTGGCAGTATCTGAAAACACCGCAAAACGACAAGGAGCATCACTATTGCACTTTGTTGCGCTAAGAAGCGGGAGCCGGAGCTGCCAAAACATATTTTGCGTGCTGCAGCCAAAGCGCACTTTGCAGGCTACACTTGAACTGCAAAGTTGAAACATGTTGCGATTTTTGAGCTGGAGATGCCAAAGTGTAAATTGCATGCTACACTTGTGTTCGTTTTTAGCTGGAGCTGCGGAAGTGCACTTTGTGTAACACACCTGTGCTGAAATGTTTTAGCTTTGTGCTTTCGAGTTTGCAGCAAAAAGGAAATAACTAGTGAAGAGAAAGAACAATAATGCCAAGATAAGTAAGCAAATACCCTCCCCCCCCTCAGAAGGTCAAAGCTGGGAACAGGTTTCGGGAGAGGAAACCTTAGCCTGTTGTCACTTCGCGAGCTTAGCGTGATGTTCCCGAGCCGCCTTTCGGGCTCGTCGCTGGGACCTTTTGCCTCGCCTGAAATGTTGCGACGCCTTTAAGGGGTCCGCCAAAACAGGTGTGTGTGCGTGGCGCGGGGCAGGTCGCAGAGCGTATCTCACCTCAGGAACCCTCCGCGCGGGCAAACTCGGAGGAAGCTCACATTTCACGAAGGCTGAAGGGAAACGCTAGACGTGGCCCTTGCGCGATAGTGTTTTTTACAGAATTGTGTTCATTTGGCCGCCCACCCTGAAGGATGAGACAGTCACCGTGGATACCGGCGACCTGAATGCAAACGCGGAAGTGCTGGGCTGAGGCGTCAGCGCACGGTTGCCAAACCATTTTGGCTGTGCATTCCCGCACCCGACTGACCACGTACACATGTGACAAGGGAGGGTCTTAGATTCTTAGATGAGACAGCTCTGAAGCACCACCGATTCCTGACATTCTTGCGAGGCACCTGGCATTTGAACTGATTGGCCTCCGGTGTCTGGTCGACCGACCCGCTTCTATGTGTAGACAATGATCCCCAAGAGTGGTTTGGCCAAGCCGGTCCAAAGGGCTTGCTTGCAGAGTGGTCTTTGAAAAAGAGTGTTGCTCTGCAGACGTCTTGCTGCCCGGCTTAGCAACTTGTGTCCATGATCCTTGTAGGCAATGAGCATGCTTGATCGTGTTGCTATGTGAGGGTGCGAGGCTAAAGCTCATCGATGCATTTCCGAAGTTGGTAAAGTGCTCGAGTGGAAGACTCACAGACCATGAATTGAGAAACCTATGGAATGCTGTTGATCCCCGGGGATGCAATCCTGCCACTGGAAACAACTATGTGCTTGTGGATTTCTCGAAGGACTTGATGACAA